CGCCCCCGCCTCGCCCGCCGTGCTTCCCCCCCTCCTCCGGGAGCGCATCGACGTCCGCGTCCGAGTCGCTCTCTGCCTCGCTCACCGCAAGGGCTGCCTCCAGCGGCGCCATCGCACCGCCTCCACCCTCGCCTCCGCCGCCTGCGCCGCCGCCGCCGCAAACGCCGCCGCCTCCTCCTCCTCCTCCGCCACCGCCCAAGTCGACCAGGCAGACCGCCGTCAGCGGCAGCTCCTCCACCTCACATCCCTCCCCCGCCTCCGCCGCCTCCACCGCCTCCGCCACCTCCGCCACCGCCTCCTCGCCAGCTCGCATGAATCGCGCCCTCGAGTCCCGCCCCGACACGGCACCCGAACCCACACTCCCCTCCCCCACCGTACCCGAACCCTCCCTCGACTCCCCACGCACCGACACGGCTGCCGCCGGCGCCTTCCCAGGGCTGGGCCGGCTGCGGCGGCGGCTTTTTGGCGGCGCCTCCTCCCGCACGTGCGACACGCCCGCCTGCGCGTCAAGCCGCTAGTTCACGAACTAAGTGGCCAGTTAACTCATAACTAGCCCGCCTGCGCGTCAAGCCGCTAGTTCACGAACTAAGTGGCCAGTTAACTCATAACCAGCCCGCCTGCGCGTCAAGCCGCGAAATCGCCCACTAATTAACAAGTGGATTGATTCGTGAATTCGACCACCTGCGCGTCAAACCGCTAACTAACCAGTTAATCAGTTATTCAACTAGTTTGTGGGCTCGCCCGCCTGCGCGTCAAGCCACGGGCGCTCGTAGTGCGGGCCGTAGTTCCAGGTGAGCTCGACCTATTCACAGCTAGAGGTGTGAACAGCTCGTAGTGCGGGCCGTAGTTCCAGGTGAGCTCGACCTATTCACAGCTAGAGGTGTGAACAGCTCGTAGTGCGGGCCGTAGTTCCAGGTGAGCTCGACCTATTCACAGCTATAGGTGTGAACAGCTCGTAGTGCGGGCCGTAGTTCCAGGTGAGCTCGACCTATTCACAGCTAGAGGTGTGAACAGCTCGTAGTGCGGGCCGTAGTTCCAGGTGAGCTCGACCTATTCACAGCTAGAGGTGTGAACAGCTCGTAGTGCGGGCCGTAGTTCCAGGTGAGCTCGACCTATTCACAGCTAGAGGTGTGAACAGCTCGTAGTGCGGGCCGTAGTTCCAGGTGAGCTCGACCTATTCACAGCTAGCGGTGTGAACAGCTCGTAGTGCGGGCCGTAGTTCCAGGTGAGCTCGACCTATTCACAGCTAGAGGTGTGAACAGCTCGTAGTGCGGGCCGTAGTTCCAGGTGAGCTCGACCTATTCACAGCTAGAGGTGTGAACAGCTCGTAGTGCGGGCCGTAGTTCCAGGTGAGCTCGACCTATTCACAGCTAGAGGTGTGAACAGCTCGTAGTGCGGGCCGTAGTTCCAGGTGAGCTCGACCTATTCACAGCTAGAGGTGTGAACAGCTCGTAGTGCGGGCCGTAGTTCCAGGTGAGCTCGACCATGGGAGGGATGTCGTGCTTTGCGACCTGTTCACAGCTAGAGGTGTGAAGAGACGCCGTTCACAGCTGGTCGGCGGGATGTCGTGCTTGTGCGACCAGGTAGGCGCGCCGAGGCAGCACCGGCGGGTTCTGAGACAAGTCGGGCCCGGGTGAATAGCGTCTCCTCACGCACCGATTGGTGGTGGGGATCGATAAGCGGGAATCTGGCAGTCTCCGCGCACAT